ACAAGCTCATTTAAACCCACTCAGGTGTGATAGTTATATTGTGAATCTTCATGTCAGCTTCATCTTGTTCCGTATCGGCATCATGTCGAGGCTCATGTGTCTTTGACTCCTGCTCTTCTTTCATCTGTTTTTGTCTCAGTGAATGTGTGAAGTGTGAACAGCAGTGTGCTGCTGTCACTTTGATACATTAGCTCTTCCTCTGCTGCACACTGAGGATCAGACAACAGAGGCCCTCTGCTGCATTCWAACAGCCAATTCCATCATCTCACTTTCTCAGAATGCTTATCTGAACACAGCTCTGATTGTCTGTGGTATGACTGCAATAAGTATTTAATCATGAGAAAAACATTTGTTTCTGTGCAGCTGATGGATTATCATCTGTGCAGCAGGGTCACTCCTCAGGTGATAGATTATTTTAATGACTGATTTAACTACAGACACACAGCTCATTTCTCCCACAGTTAGGAACTAATTATGCTTCATGATTAAAGTCARACAAAAATCCAACATRCTCCAGGCTGTTTTTCAGGAAAAGACCCAAAACATTACGACCATCTCTGCCTAACATGGCAGTCCAATCTAAAACTAATGTCTGTATTTTACCCAAGACGTTCGTTTTATCAGATAGAAAGCAGTGGATCAGAGTTGTTTCAGTACATTTCACCTCTGATGAGTTCGTTCTCTCCACAGCTGACTGGGTTCAAACAGATATCTCAGTGGGTGTATTAATAAACCAATCTGATCACAGGGATGATTGTTATTAGGTGGATTAATTTAAGACTGAGAAGTGTAGTATCGTTGGTTTGTTTCTTTGTGAAGATATAAAGAAAGCCTGGTGGAAAATTTTCAACAGCTAAAAAGGACCTAAATTGAGACACCACTTTAAATACATAACAATTAATCAGGAGCTAATCAAATCACTGCACATGTCAAGTCAAACCATTTTTTGTAAAGAAAACATTTTCTTTACATTTAAACATTTTAAATTTGAGAGTCTTTGTTTTATTTTGTAGTGGTTGATGTTTGGGGAGGTTTTTCAGTTCTATACGTTCCAAGCTTCAAACTGCACAAGATTAAAACTCTTCACCATCTAGACGAACACGTTCCCATGAGGACAGAGGAAATAAAAACAAAAGAATATATGACTGAGTTTTTGTAAAGTCAGAGGGAAAATCTAAAATAACACATCACAGAACAGAACAGGGAGGAGAAAACAGAGAAAAACATCATTTTATTAGTTAGTATGTTTGTATCTTAGAAATTCAGAATAATTTTCTCTAAACACAACATTTTAAGTTTCACAGGACCTTAAAAAAATACAACACCCAAACACAAACCGAGTTGTTCAGTGCAGCAAGAAATATTTAAATATCTACAGAAAATACTAAAAAGRTTTTAAACTGCAAAAAACTACAGAATTCCAGTTATTTTGTCTTTTTTATTTATTTGATTTGCCATGTCCAGCATGACAATCTATATATTATACTATAGCATAATTTTATCATAGTATAATGTATGGCAGTGGTTCCCAAACTTTTTATCTTCTGACCCACAAAATATCCATGGCAAAAACTTGTGACCCCAGATATTAATGGTCTGAGTACATGAACTTCGTTAATAACCCTAAAAACACAGGCTTTTTGACAATCAAAACAGCTTTTACACAAATATAAATACTTATTTATACTTATCTTGTGTTTTTGTAATAATTATAAGGAAAACATTACATCAGCAATTATTTTATTACCCTTTACATTGATTTCTGGAGATTATCCAAGGTGCTTCATGACCCATAATTGGGTCCCAAGCCCAACTTTGGGAACCAAAGTGCACTGGTTCCAAAACTTTTCAGCTTTTGACCCACAAAATAACAGTAGAGACCTGTGCCCTCAGCTATTTTTGGATGATAAACATTTGTATCAGGTCAACTAAACATGGGCATAGTAACAATATTTTTTATAATACATTTATCCATTTTGCATACACTAAACTCACTCCTTTGTAACAACTAAGGCAAAAATGTAATTAATTCAGAAAATCTTGTCAGGACCCCACCTTGATGTTTCAGGACCCCACTTTGGGTCCCGACCCCAACTTTGGGAAACACTGATGTATGGTGTTCATCTACAGTGGTAAATTATGCAGTGAGCTGATTAATCAGTCAGGCAGTCAGTCAACAAACCAAAAGCCTAACATTCTTTAAAATGATACTACTGGCCCACAGCCTTTCATGACAAATGTTAAGATTTTTCATTTTAATGACCTGTAGAATGTGATAACCTTTGATTTTTTCTTTTAGTCCAGTTTAGTGCAGGTGTCACAGAAGAGAAGCGAAGCCCCAGCACTCACTGCGTCTGAGTGGCATGTTTTCTGAATGACTCTGTAACAGCTCAGGGCTGAAAGTATGTAATGAAACTGGAAACATGCATCATATTTGTGGCAGCACCGAGCGTTATTACTGCTGTCGGACTGAATAAATATCCCCCAGCTGCCCTCACCTTCTTACCTTCCCCCAAATATTAGAATGTAAATCAAACCCAGCGAGTCCCAGGTAAAGTCAAGGAGAAAAATATATAAATAAAAAAGAAAAAGCTTGAACTGAACTGAAGATGGAGAAGAAGAGGCAAGCTGTTTTGTTCTTTTATCAGAATGCAGTTGGAGAGCAAACAGGGTGAAACTCTTTGATATACATGAGTAACCACACAGCTACAGTGTTAATTTCCCTCTCTGTGGCTCATCTCTCCCCCCGCTGAGGGCACAGATAGTAAACTGTTGACCCAATGACTCCAGATGCCAGACCGGGCTCCGTCCCTGATTGGACTCCACGGTGCTTCAATCAGCCTAATTGGCTGAAGCCAGAGAATCAGTGAGAGGAGAGAAATGAGAGGGGAGTGCTGGAATTGGAAGAAAATGAAGTGCTGCAGCGCACGTACCTCATTATTTGTTAAACGTCTACACCGGAGTTGGGGGGGGGGGGGGGTGAAGAGCTCTCAGACTAAATAAATACTTTAGCTGTTTTTCATCTTAAACTTTTAAAGCTATTTTAACTAGACAAGCGTCTTGTTCTGTGTACCTGTTAAAGAAGCTGAAACTGAACCATCACAAAATGATCAAAACAAAAGCTAAAGGCTAAAGTTAGCTGGACAGTGTATATAGCTAGAACCAGCAAAACAGTATCTAAAAGCTTAAACCAACCAAGCCATAGCTAAAAGGTAAAAATAGCATAAAATCTCTAAGCTAAAACCAGTCAAACAATAGCTAAATGCTAAAACCAGCCAAACAGTAAATACAAGAATATCACGTGTGTCTGGCATGAAAAATAATCATCTTCACATCAARAGCTGCATTTCCATTGACCATGAAAATGCGCAAATTAGAATTTTGAAAATAAATTTGCTCAATGGAAACACGTCAATTTTGAGAAAAAATAAATWACATTTTCYACTAAATGTTTTTGCGCTAGGAAGAGGTGATTTTTCAGCCGTATCGAAATTGATGTTTTTCGCAAAACTGCAATGGAAACACTTTTTTCYCATCAAGGGAGTCACGTCATCAAGAACCYGCTGTTTCTACTGGTGAAAAGACGACGAAGGAGAAGATAACAYGAAGTAAAAGTAGTAGTGAAATCACCGAAGTAGTAAAAGAAAGTATTAAACTCACCGACTACATTTTCCCAAWYACGCAGCATATGTAGCCACTCACAAGTATAAGGGTCTCGTCACTRGAAAGCCTAAATAAGACACTGACGTCTCCTCTGATGGCTGATGATGAGCGCTAGTGTCGTGGTAGCAATATGCTATGTTTACATCCATCGCCGCCATGTTTGTAATGACATTGCGAGAACGAACGTATTCACGCATGACTTTAATAGCATTTCTTACTTAATGGAAATACTGCAATTGCGAAACTGTGTTTTTCAACATTAACAGAATATCGACAAGGTTTTGCGCACATTTGCAATGGAAACACAGCTACAGTTTCCCAGAATCACCTCTAAGTGTTGCCAATGGAACCAGAACCACAGAAACGGGCAGATGCCAGCCCTGGAGTTGGCGTGGGGCTGCGCACATTTCCACWTTCATTTCAGTCTTGATCCATTTTTGCATGGAGAAGGGTATATGCACTGTTTATACATCAAGTCCCTGGTATCTATTTCCAACAGTCAAATTGAGGCAGGGGACACCTGGACAGGGTTTTAGTCCATCACAGAGACAACTGGGCAGGTCTGCTGTCCATCAGTTTTGTATCTTCATAGATCTGAGCTGAGTTTGATGGAAATCTACTTTAAGCTTTCAAACCACATTTGTTGTCTCGTTTTGTTTAACTTGGATAGAAAAAAGTGTTCAAGTATAGAAATGGAAGGAAAGCTTCCTGAGATGCAGAACTGGTTGTTTTCAGCAGAGTATTGTAATAAATGGATGTGGGATAAAGCTACATATGGTGCCACAATTCTTTATTTTTTATTTACTGGCATCTCTTTGGGTCTGTTCATCAAACATCCAATATTCAGCACAACAGGACAGCATGTTTGTCTGCTTGAAGCTCAGACACGTCATACGTTGTGGGATGAAAAAGACGTCCCTCCTGGTTCAAAGTTCGCTGATTCTGTTCGCTGSCATCTGCTTGCACCCTGCTGTCAGACACCCACCCATTCATCCTTCTATCATTTCACCAACTATCTGCAGAAACTCATCCCAGTCACCCAACAAGCAGGGTTTATTCTGTCACATTTCCATACAGCTCTGCTTTCAGCTGTTTATCTTCCTATCTTTCATTAACACAGGCAGAATCAAACTAAATATTGCATTTCAAGCATATATAGAAAAAAAGAGATGATAAAACCTGTGTGTGTGCAGTTGCTTGTTTGACTGCAGATACTCAGACTGGAGCTGATTTACAGCCTGTTTCTAAACAGTCTGGATTTGTCCAACTGAGACATTTAGTTGAGATTTATCCTGCAAGGAAAATAAATACTTAAAGTTACTTGTGTTGTTTTTCAGCTCTTCCTCTTCCAGCTGCTGAGAGGCCTGTCTTACATCCATCAGAGGTACATCCTCCACCGTGACCTGAAACCACAGAATCTTCTCATCAGTGACACCGGAGAGCTCAAACTGGCTGATTTTGGTGAGTAGATTGAAACTGAAGATCTGTGGAGTGTTTGTTTGATGGTGTATATATAGAGGTACCTCCTGTCTTCTCTGTATGAGTTCTCATGATATGAAAGTTAAATTTATCCACTCTTGTTTCTAACATTTGATTTGAACTTGTGACCAGTTTTATTCTTCAAGGTAAAAAGATTGTTCCTGATCCTAGTGAAACTTGTTGCTTCAGTGTTTAGTTTTCCTGCTTTGTGATTTATTGTCAGGTTTAATTGTAGTCTGGTTCTGCGTTCTCCCTGGGTCATATATTAACTCTCCTTCAGTCAGATCTGCTTCTCAGCTCCTGCCACACTGAAGCCCACTCTTTATTGTCAAGTCTTACTAATCTGTTCATGTCTGTTTGGTTTGGCACGTGGCTTTGGCCATGTATTTTTTGCAATTGTCACAACTCTGATTATGGGTGCGCGTGTAACCAGTTTGTCAAAATCACCTCTCTCCAGGAAGAGTTTGCGAGTTCGACCTCGGCTCAGTCAATGGCAGCAGTCTGCTGACGTCACATCACTAGTTTGCATCAGTTTGACCCACCTGGGACCACCYGTGGATCTGAAAGCAGTTGGAACCAGCTCGTCTGTAGAGTTGCTCATTATTCACTCCTCAGTGGAGCATTGCACATTGATGACATGACTGGTTCCTCCTGTGTTTCCTCATCCCCATCTTCAGTTTGTTAGTTCTGCTGCCATGACAGCCTTTCTGTTTTTGTTATCTGCCTACCACTGAACGACTGACTGACCAGAGCTTTCAGGTTCTGTTCAGTAAGTTTTGGTCCTTATGTCTAGGAATGACTCAGGACGCACAACATATTGAATCCAGACAGTTTTATGTTTAAACAATGTTTTTAATTAATTACACAAGTCTGAAAAAAGAAGCTYGGAGTCCCGGGTAAAATAAACAAAAAGAGAGAGACTGGCCCCAAACCAGACGGCAATTTACTGACGGATTCAGGTACTACTCCCCATACCCTATGTGGTCCAGGATCTCAGCCCTACTACCAAAAAATTGGAAAAGAGTGACATCTGGTAACTCCCAGGTCCAACAGGAAATACAACAAATGACAGAAACAACAATAGGTGGCTTCAGAAGGCAGGAGAAAGAGCGAGGCAGGCGAGCATGACTRACAACGCACCAAAATCTCTCCTCTGGCTTCCCTGGTTTCCCTCGAAGGCGGAGTCTGCAACTTTTAAATTCTTAATCGTCAATTTGCTCAAAGAAGCCACATCAGTTAATTAGAAGCTCATTCATGACACACAGGGACATGTTATAGGATCTTACCTGTTCCTAGAACTGGTCTCTTCTGTACAGAGGTGTCTGAGGTTGTTCCTGGGATCTGTTGGAGCCACTCTTTCAGGAGGGATCACGGCACCGAGTGCTCCCATACCCACTAGGACCACAGACGCTATGATTCTCCATCACTTCTGTATTTCTTTGGTATTTCTCCAACTGCTCTTTCTTCATGTTGTTACAGTCAATCAGGATTCTMCCACTTTGACTTTGGGACCCGCAGTCCATACTCAGCTCAGATGTTGCTGTATATTATTCCAGCCTCTAGGTTATGTTGCTCCATGTATTCTTTGCCTGTCTGCATTTTACACTCTGTTATTGTGTTGGACTGTCTCAGGGGCATCTTTGTACAGCCTGCATCTCTCTCTTTCTCTAAATAAAACACACACACACACACACACACACACACACACACACACACACACACACACATATATATACGTATATACAATATATGTACACACACACCCATATGCATCCATCCATAAATCTTGTGCTTTTGGTCTGCACACCTTATGTATTTATCCATTCCTATCCTCTCTCTCTCTCTCTCTCTCTCTCTCTCTCTCTCTCTCTCTCTCTCTCTCTCTCTCTCTTTACGCTTGCTCTCTCCCCCATCCATCTCCCCAACCTTCCACCCCTCTATCCCTCACCCCTGACAGATGGGAGGATGAGGAGGTGGGAGGTAGCCTCATCAATAATGCAAACATTGTATTAGTGTAGAAACATTACTGCAAGGGAAATGAGCAYGAGGGAAAATAATGGACAAAATATCAAATGAGAAAAGATGAAAATCCCTGGCCTATTAGTCTGTCACTGGGGCTGCAGCTCATCGACAAACACACTCAAAACCGAGAGTCAGACTTGGCCTGAGGGATGCCAGATGATAAAGGTCTATGCTGTGTGTGCGTGTGGCTGCCAGGACTCTTGGGGGTCCCTAACCTTGGAAAACTAACAGCCAACAGCTGAGGCCTGTGGTTTTGTTTGGAGTAAACAGGAGAGAATGGGCAGGGTGTCGACAAAGGAGGAGCTGTGATGAACAAAGAGAGATGGCAGAGCCCTCAGTAAACAGACATGAAGTCAGAAGGACAATGGGGTACAGCCAAAGAGTTGATGAAAGGGGAAAAACGTGTTTTGAGATGATATCAGTTTAAAACATGTCTGCACCACAGATCAAATGAGATGACAACAAAGTCGATCATTGAACGATGTCTGGCYTATTAAATAAAACRAGTGTTGACAGAGAGGAGAACTGCTTCATGGAAGGAGAACCTTAGCTTAGCCTGTTAACTTTTGTGAGCTAATACATACAGTATGTGGTGTTAGCCCCCATGCTAATTTATTTAAACAACACATTTGATTGTGTCAACCAATATATTGAACAGAACTTAGAAACTAATATAAAAATATAACTTTATTATCACAAATTAAAGCTTTTTAGCATTGACTCTTTGTATGAGTTTCAGCTGATACCCATCACCACCATCATCATACTCAAAATTCATTGCATCAGTWTAAAAAAACAGTAAATATTACACAATTTTGTAAGTAACTAGGAGTTTTTAGATGTCACAAACAACTTTTAATAGGAAAAAAAGGCCAACATGTGACAATAGTCAAACATCCGTTTAAGAATACMTTAAATTTCCAAAATTAAAACTATCTCAATGTGTTTAAGTTCACATCATTCTTCAAGCTGTTCTGAGTTTTATGCACCTAAATCAGAGCAAGAGTTATACTTGTCARGGCGTGCTTGTAGCAGATTGTTCCTTTCCTCAGTTTCTTATTCTGAGATAAAAACACCACCTGCTCTCAAGAGATGGTAAATATTTGACACTTTCTGTGACAAACAGAAGTTGTATTTGAGAATCGMATGCTTTCGACCATGACAGTTATTTATAGAAAAATTTTGAGTTTATATCAGGCCTAAAAAATCTGACCCGACCCGAGCCAAAAGACTCTGGGTCTCAAGCAAGAACATTTTCGTATTCTTATCCTAAACTTCTCTTGCTTTTGTTCGTACAAAGGGTTCGTATGAACATGCCACGTCAGATTCAACAAACTCTTCTATCTTCAGGAAAAGTGTGTTAATGAGCTGTGTAAACTGATGAATGTGTATCAGGTGCTCGTGCACGAGGAGAGGAGATTAGCATAATTACCACCCCATAAACACCATTTAAGAATATATGTTTCCTGCCACACATACCAGGAAGTGTTCATTCATAAATGACATCGCAAAGTAAAAAGAAGAACTTCACAAGTTCGCAGATTGAAGTCCTGCTCTCAGAGATCCCGAAAAAAAAAATCTGTCATTTTAGCAGTGTCAGCTGTGGAATCAAAGGACCTGCTAAAGTAGAGGAATGAAATGATGACTGCTGTTAATGCTGTGTCTCCTGTGGGTCGTATACAGTCATAGAAATAAAAATCTAAATCATATTCATCTCTCTCTAATCCTGCACAGGTTTTCCTTTGGTCAAATATTTATTATTGAAGTGTAAACAACTGTGTTACATTTTTCATTTATTCAGAAGAAGAGCAGTCGTGAGGTTCATCGTCAGCTGGTAAAGAAGCTTGTTTAAGATGAAGTCTGGTTCAGAGTCAGATYAGGAGCTTAACTTTTACTCCAGGTCATTGTACAGCTTCATCCTGCACCTCTCTGCATCTCAGCTCTGCTGGCTTAGAAGGAAATCCTGATCAGAGAGCAACAGTTTCCCATCAGCCCCAGCAGGCTGCGCTTCATATCCCTTCTGTTAGATGTGGACTAATCCACATTCTTCCTTTAGCTCCTCTGTGATTTTACTCACATCTTAATGAGGAAAAACAACCACATGTTGTCAATGAGGCTTTGAGGAGCCTCATGTTTGATATGAAGGACGCAGCTAATTGAGGCCAACTGCACTGTTTGTACAGAGGACGTGTGTTTGTGCAGGAAGCTGTGTGAAACATTCTGCTTCTGTCTCTCAGCACACACATCTTCTGAAAGTAATTATTTCAGACCTACTGTTGTTTGAAAGAGGCAGTTTCTCGGCCTGGATCACCAACATTGTTAGTTGTTTCACAAACCTCAGAACATTAAWGTCAACAAAAGAACATTTCTCTCTTTTCTAAAGTAATTTTGTAGGATGCCAATAAAACTTAGATCAAGTTTCTTTTCTGAAGTGCAGTAGTAATTTAAGACTTCCATCTGTAATAATCTACCAAACACTGAAACCCAAGATCAAAATAAATATTAAAGCTGCTGTCAGTGGCTAAGATGGGTCCTCAAGGTAACCACACAACTACATACGTCTGTCACTCCCTGACAGACAGAAACACAGTGTAGAAAATAAACCTCAGTCTCTGTTTAAAACMAGTAGTCATATAGAAAAAATATGTTCATCAAACAGCATTTTCTATGTTTTACAGTGTTCTATGTAGGGTTGGGCGATATTGGCAAAAAATTAGTCACGGTTAATTATGGTATTTAGARGATAACGATTAATTTGACGATTAATCGCCTGTAGTCTCTGGATACCCTTATGTCCTGGTCACATGATCAATTTAGTGGGAAAGATTCGCTCTTCGTAAAAATATTTTTCAAACTGTGTCAAAATCACAGACTTCAGSCTGTACTTCAAAWTTTAAATTSTGTTGWTAAATAAATTACAGAACTTTTYTTTAAATATTCGTCATATTTMAAGCGGAGAG